GATAAGATTTAATAAAAATTTGTGATCAAAAAAAATATTATTATTATTATTATTATTATTATTATTTACGGTAATGGATTTAACTCGCAAAAATTTTTTTTCTTTAACTTATTATTATTATTATTATTATCAATAGAAATGAAATGTGATAATGATGATTAAATGAATATACCCACTTGACTAATGAAAGGAAAAAAAAAAAAAAAAAAAAGTAAACAAAAGTTTTAAGGTTCAATTTTATTTTTATTGTACGATAATAATGATACTTGTTAAAATGTTGTCATTTAAAAATCAATCGATCGTCCTCTAATATCAAATAAACGACACGATGAAAATATTTTTAAATATCGTAATTACTAATGATAATAATGATAATAATGATGGGGATGATGATGATGATAAATATCTTTTTAATTTTATTTTTATTATTATTATTATTTTGTCCAGGGGGTTTATTAAGCGTCATTGTGGAAGCCTACATGGATGGAACCGTCGAAGATGCACTTTTGGTTCCCGTTTCAATCAACTACGATAAATTGGTCGATGGAAATTTTGTCAACGAATTATTGGGACAACCGAAACAAATGGAAACTTTTTCGGCTGCTCTTTCGGCAATGTGGACCACGCTCAACTCGAATTACGGCTCGATAAGAATTGATTTCAATCAACCGTTTTCCCTTAAGGTTTTTAAAAAAATTTTTACATCGTTCGGGGATTGAACCTGTGGGTTCTATCTCTCTCTCTCTCTCTCGAGTAGCATACGATGAACATTTAGGCATATGTTTTTTTTTTTTTTTAGGAATTAGTAAAGTCGTTACAAGGTAAATCAGGTCGAATGTCTCTAACGGATGTTTTTAACAGTAACGATTCGGATTCGAGTTCCTCCGTATCGAAAAAAAATGGATACCAAAGAGAAAAATCATTTCGGAGTATTCCGAGTACGACTTCGTTGTACGGAACGGATGTCGTCGACGAAAGTCATCGCGTTCTTATCGATAACATTGCCAGACATTTGATTTACGGTAATTTTTAAATATTTTTAAAAAATGAATCGAAAGAGTGACCGAAAAAAATTAAAAATGACTGCTTTTTAAAACAGATTCGTTCAAGGCTTGCGCCATAATGTCGACAAATTCCGTCGCGTTTTTGTTGCTCTACAAATACAGAAATGGCGTATCGTTTAACGAATTAGTCGAATCGTTTGGCGAACTTCGAAAACAATTCAATTCCGATAATCGAGATGTGGGATTTTCCGGTGAAAATGAAAACGTTGTCGAACACGCGGTGAGTCGTGAATGTTCAAACATTTTTGTTTCCTTCCCTCCCCTCCCCCACCCCTCCCCGGAAAGTAAAAGAAAAAAAATATTTTTTTTGGATTTTTCAGATCGAATTGTTGGGTTCTTCGTTGGTGAAAAGGGAAAAAAGAGGGAAAACGGATAATAACGAATCCGAAACGGTTGATGAGTACATTATACCGGAAGTTGATTTACCCAACGTCATTGGATTGTCATATTACAGTAATACAGTCGTGTCACATTTTGTCGTGGAAGGAGTCGTTGGTAAGTTTAACGACACTCCAATAAGTTTTCCCGTTTTTATTTTTCAAATGTCGTAATAACGTTTTGAAAATTTTTTTTTTTTTTTTTTTTCCACAGCAACTTCCATTTGCAGCGCATTAAAATTCGAATCGGAAAACGAATATTGGGTTCAAAAGGACGACATTGTTAAAAACGCTTTGGATTTATGCGACGTACTACAATACGAATTTATTTTCACAAAACCCTGCGAATCGTTGGAATATGCCATAAACGAAACCATCGACAAATTTAAATTCATGGAAATCATAACGACAAAAGAGGTTTTTGCCCCTTCCCTCCTCCCCTCCCTGCCCCCTCCTTTAATTCTTACATTTTTTTAAACGCAGAAACTCTAAAAAAACTTTTCAATTTTTACAGACTGGAAAATTAGGATACGAATCGTGGAATAGTTGGGGTGCGAAAAATTTTGAAGATACCGACAACGATGATGATTATTTTCATCAATATCATCCATCCGTCACTTACACCGTGAGTATTATTATTATTATTTTCTCTTCTGCGAGAAAATTTGTCGGAAAAATCAATAAAATAATTTTTCTTGTTGTTTTCAGGTTAATTACAAAAATAACGAAGAGGAAAAATTGGAATTGTTTCACACGATTTTAAGACCTCTAGTCGATGCTTATTTAGCAACCGCAAAGTGCCTAAATATATTAATTGAAAAAGAAATGACGGAAAGTGAATTCGTTAGAGAAGTTTTAAACGAAATCAAAACACAATTACAACATGACGGATATTGTTCCTACGGTATGCTGCCGCCATTTTTTTTTTTTTTTGTTGTGAACCGGAGAGATATCGATTAATTTTAAACATTTTTTTTTTTTTTTTTTTTTTTTTACACCCAGGTGAAAGCTCTTCCAACGAACTTGTTAAAAACGCATTAAAATTATTTAAAAAATGGGGAGTCGTAGAAATGTACAGTCGAGATTCTATAAAACTCGTTTATTTAAACGACGTTTATACAAACGACGACGAACTACAACCGATAATAAATAGAATAAGTCATTTTAAATTTTTCAAAGAAGTCGTCACGGAATGAAAAACATGCATGAATTACATAAAAGGACTGAAAATTAAAAAAAAAAAAAAAAAAAAAAAAAAAAAAAAAAAACCGAAGAAGAAATAGTAAATTTTAATTTTATTATTGTTATTGTTATTGTTGTTTTTTCATTCGACGATGAAAACAAACAAACAAACAAAAAAGGATTAATTTCGATCGAGTTTGAAAAATGCTCAACAAGTTTTCTTTTTTTTTTTTTTTTTTTATTTGATTATAATTATTATTTTTTATTTTTTTTATTTTTATTGATACGTACGGGGCGCGTCGAAGAAAGAAAAAGAAAAAAAATAATTTATAAATATTTAAAAGAAGAAGAGGAGGAAGAGGAAAACGTGTAGAAAATAAATCTGCTCTCAAGATAATAAAAATAATAAAAAAACGCCATTTTTATAATCAATTGTTTAAAAGGTTGTCGTTGTTGTTGTTTTGCTGTTGTTGTCAATTTTTTTTTTTTTTTTATTAAACGTAACAATAATGAGTGCCAGACATATCATTAAAAATCGCTCAATTTATGTAATAATAATAATAATAATAATAATAATAATAATAATAATTTTTGTATTTATTATGTGATTAATAAGACGTATGCGATAGAAATATCGTGGGAATCGTATTGTTTATATAAAAAATTTTTTTTTTTATTGTTTTCATTTAAAATAATCAAAAAGGTTTCAAAGGATAAAAAAGGAAAAAAAATATATATATATATATTATTGTCAAATTAAAATAAATAATGATTATTATTATTATTATGAAGAAGGAACCAAAGTTAATAATAAAAATTAATTAAATATTTGGGTAATAATAATAATATATCAAATGATAAAAGTAAAAAATATTATTATTATTATTATTATTATTATTACCGAACAAATAATAAATAAATAAATAAATACGTAAAGCGAGAGAGGGAGAGAGAGAGAGAGGGTTATAAAAAAAAAAATATTTTTTAATTAATATTTTGTTATTAATATATATTATATAGAAATAAAAAGGAAAATTGTTTGTTGAAATAATAATAATGATGATAATAATAATAATAAATTGGAAAAAAAAATGTCAATTGTTTTACGTAAAAAAAAAAAAAAAAACCACATCTGTGATAATAAATACAAATTTTTTTTTTTTTTTGTTATTTTTTTTTAATTATTGTATGTAGTTGAAGTTCCTGTGGTTATTAAAAAATTATTATTATTATTATTATTAATATTTTTTTTTTTTTAAATTAATTATATTTTTTTAAAAAATATAATATTTGATTATTATTTGTTTAAATTAAATTTTTTATTTTTCTCTATTAAATATTTGTTTAATAATTATTTCATGAATAATAATAATAATTTATTAAATTTATTTAATATTATTAGAAAAATAATACTTGTCAAAATGATATTTTTCGAAATTGTTTTTCGAAAAAAAAAAAAAAAAAAAATGTGTGTGTGCGTGTAAATATTTATTTTCGTTATAATTTTAAATTTTATTATAGAAAAATGAAAACTAAACTAAATAACTATAGATATATAATTATTATTATCGTGACATTATTTTACGTAAATAATAATTTATATTTAACTTATGGACATATCGATACGAGAAAAAATAAAACAAAAAATTATTTATTCGATGCATTAAAAAATAATTACAAGTTAAATGATGATGACGTAGTAAATGATAATTTTTCAAAGGTTGGCAATATTTTTGTTTATATTTTATTTTCACATTAGTTAAACTTTAACTAATTAACAATTAGCCAACTTAAATTTTAAGTTGGCTGTCATAAAAAAGAGAAAACGATTGAGCGCCAAAAATGACGTCACGTAAATGACGGTTTTTTTTTGAGAGAGAGAGAGAGTTGGAATTTCAATCGTTTTTTTTAATTGTTTTCGATATTATTAATTGATATAAAATAAAAAATTGTTTTTATAATTGTTTGTTATACGTGTTTTAACGGTTTTATTTACTTTTTTTCGGTTGGAAATGGCCGAGTTTTTAATATATATAATTTTAATATATTTCAGTTGGGACTTTCGCCATCTTCTCCAGAAGTTCAAAAATTATTTTCATTATTTAATTCGAAATCACCGGAATTTATGGGACCGGATGATTGGGAAAATTTCAAAAGAATATTACCCTTTATTCCATTGGATGTTTTTCTAAAAATAAATTTTACCGATCCACAAATAATACAATATTTTGGACAAGCACCGGTAAATGCTAATATAAAACTCCATGAAGTTATACTAATTGATTTCCAAAAAGGGAAAAATTATAAAAATTTTGTTTTTTAGATGCAACCAAATCAATTGTCATTAATTGCCGAAATAATAAATGAAAATTTCGATTCAAATTTATATGAGAATGTGACATCCATAGCAAATTTGGGAAATATATTTTGTGGTTTTTCAACATCTAATTTTGAAAAAATAAATAAAAATACAATTAGGTATTTATTTATTTATTCATCTTATGTGTGGTTAGCAAGTATTAAAATCTTCAACCCTGTTACAAATAACATAAATTAACAACAAAACAATTTTGTTTGTTTGTTTGTTTTTAGAGAATTAATCATGAGCAGGTTTTTTATAAACATGACAAATTGCAGCATAAACAAATTGAATTATTTAGGACAACTGGCACAAAATTATGAAATATTAGGACCCTCAAGAACTTGGGATTTAAATAAAATTGAAATTGTTGGATCCATATTGGCTGGATTAACCGAACAACAATTTCGTGAATTGCAAATTGAAGCATGTAAAGGAATTAAACCAAATGTTATTCGAATGATACCAGAGAAAAAACTTAAGGTGACATTTTTGCTGTTGTTGTTGTTGTTGTGTTGGTTTATCATACCACACATTGAAAGAAAACTAATAATGACCTTGAATTAGATAATAATAGAATTATAAAACAAATCCATTGTCAAATTGTAACAAACAAAATGTTGTCAGTTTTGTTTATAGATAATAAGTACACTTAAAGTGTCACAACAGTATCAATTAACGTAATCTACATCCTTACGTAATTAAAAAAAAAAAAAACAAACAATTATCTAAACTTGTTGAGTTTTAGTGTAAAATTTATTAATAATAATAATAATAATGATGTTTTAATTTTAGGCCATGCGTTCGGAACAGTTGATGGCACTCCCCGTTCAATCCCTATTGGAATGGAGGAGAAAAACAAAAGATTTTAGATTTTTACATTCAGGTTCATCTAATTTATATTATTTATTCGAATCATTATTAATCGTTACATTTATTATTTTTTTATGTAACGTTACGTAGTCGTCGTCGTCGTCGTCGTGAGAAAATATTTGATAAAGGATTTTTTTTTAAAAAATTTCGACTTGTTGCTTAGCCTGTGGAAAATTAAATGTATTGTATCATTTTCTGACAGGTACGCGTAGGTGTATAGGTACATATATATATATTTTATAAAATTATTTTTTCTTCGTTTAAGGTTAATTTCAACCTGGCGGATATTTTGAGGTCAATCATATAAAAAAAAAAAATTAAATATTTAGAGAAGAAATAAACGAGTTATTGAATTTAATTGGAAGGTTCAGACAAAATGTTTATCGATTTGTAATTAATTTCCGATCGATTGAACCTTAACCAACTAATTATTATTATTATTATCATCATCATTAATTTAACCTTGATTAAACTATTAAATTCCACGGTTGTTTTATTCAGGAGAAAAAAAAAAACATTTTTATCCAGGTATTGGTTATCAAATTACAATTTTTTTTAATTCATAACAAAGGTTAAAAATTTTTTTTTTTTTCTTATAGGATTTTCGTTATAAAAATAATAATAATGATAATGATATGCACAAAAAAATTTATTTAAAAAAAATTTTTTTTTTTTTTTTTTATATGGATGATTAACAATAAAAACTTAATTACTAAGAAGATAATTAATTATTTATTTATTTATTACAATAAGTTTAAAAATCAGTCTGTCACATGGAAGAGGATTTAATAATAATAATAATAATATTTCTATTTAATAACAACAATAACTCATTAAAAAAATGTTTATCGTTAATTTATTTAAAAAAAAATTAATTAAAAAAAAAAAAAAAAAAAAAAAAAAAACTTTTACGGATAAAAAAAAACAATTTGAACAAAAAATCTTTTTTTCTGGATGAAAAGAAAAACATACGAGACACACACATTTGGAGATCATTAAAAAAAAAAATGAGCAATTAACCTTCTTTGGAAAATGTGATTTATTGACAGTTTCAACGAGATCCACGGTGGATTATTTTCGCCCATGTCTACTAAGTTTAAAAAAAAATAAAAATGTTTCTCTAAAACAACTAAAAACAAAAAAAAATAAAATAAAATAAAAGAGGGACGAATCAATGTTTGTTCTTTCAACTAAATTATAGAAAAAGAGGTACAAAAAGAGGGTTTCAGTCCTTAAAATTATTAAAATATGTATACATAAACAATTAATTAAAAAAAATGAAAACAAATAAATTAATTTCTTTCATTGATTGTTGTTTTTTTCCAGAACCAAAACGGACTTAAAAATTTAGAGAGCTTGGATTGTGTTTCGGATAATCTGGTCGTTTCGTCATCGACGAGGTGTAACGAATGTTTTTTTTTAAATGGACTCCATAAAACGCTTCCCAAAAATCCTGTTTTGTTTATTTGTTTGTCGTCGAGTTTTTGCCTTTTTACGGCAAACGCATCATCATCGTAATCGAAATCGTCGTTTATGTTTAAACATCTTTTACCTTTGTATTTTTTCAATCCGAGATTTTCAGGCGTGTCAACTTGATTTAAACGTGGCGGATCACTTTTCACCCTAAAGCTATCGCTTAAAGAGGGTCCTTTATTTTGGGGAGTGAAAACGTCGTGACCGTTCGTGCTGACATCAAGTAAGTTAGATCCGCGTCTTATACCAGGTCGACCTGAAATTTTACCTAAATATGGATGAATGTAACTTTTCCCATCCATTTTTGACATTGGAGAATCATTTATTTTTTTCGATGATGATATTTCTGAATTTTGTTTTTCTTTGTTTGCAGGAGAGGATGATTTACGATCAATCGTTACACTACTACATGTATTACTCATGACGACAGATTTTTCATCATTATTAATAGCATCAGATGAGGCGATGCACTGTTTGTCTTTTGATGATTCCACCACGACTTCATAAAAGGAGTCTTCATCTGAATCGATTGCATTTTTTTCAGAACCTTTAGTAGAAGACAAATCAGGTATGGATTCACCATTTACAGGTGTTACCGATACTTCACATGTATCTGAATTTTTACTCGAGTTTAACGTATCAGTAACTGCATTTTCTGATTCTGATGTTTTGTTCACACATGTATTTTCCACATTAGTCGAGTCATTTAAACCATTGCTTGTGTTATTGGCACCATTTTCAGTCTCTGTTGAAGTTGTGCTGCTGCAAAAATCATTTCCATCTTTATGTACTTTTCCAACATCTTGAATTTCACTTTTCGAAACTGTATGATTTTCTGAATTAGTCGGTGATTCCGTAATGACATCTTTGGTTACACTTTCTTCAGTTTTTTCATTATCATTTTTACTTTCCAAGTTTTCCTTGACAGAGTCGACATTATTAGCAGCTGGTGGCACATCTTTTTTAGTAGCATCTTGACCATTTTTCTCTGGCGATTTAGCATTAGATTCTTTTTTATTCGATTCATTTTTGTTGACAGCGTTTAAAGAATCTCCATTGTTTTTTCCATTGACTTGTGATTTTTGTTTACTTCTCAGATTTTTCTTTTTGGTTTTAACTTGCTCTGTGATTTCCTCGATATTTTCAAAACTACTCACTTCTTGGACTTTTCCTTTTTTAACAGATGGAGATTCCGATCGTTTTTTTATTGTCTCCATGGTATCCCTTCAGCTAAAAGTTAATAAATCCCGTTAATTTTTTAGGGGGAAAAAACACACTAATAATTATACAATCGAAACAACAGCATACTATAAAAACTACAGAAAAATGAATTGGTTTAGGTTAAAAAAAAAAAAAGGAATTAAACAGTAGCTGTGATATTAATTATTAGTGGACAAGTCACGCCCTAACTGTCATTCAAATATTCAATTGTTTGTCAATGAACTGTAAAAAAGTTCAACAATAGAAAGGAAAAAAAAACAATTTCAACGAGTTGCATTTATGTAAAAATAACTCAAACATGCTGGAAAATGTTACTTGGAAAACAAAAACCGTTTTAAATGTGAATATATTTATTAAGAGGAAAAGCCTAAAACAAAACGAATGGATGCGTTCCTTTAGATGGTAAACAATTGATACTTAAACAAACACTAAAAGGTTTGTAATAATACCATAAGTGGGGAAAAAATTAAAATTTATATAAAAATTTACTAACCTAAAACTCTGAAGGCAATAAAAAAGCAAATTTACGCAGATAATAACACTGGCAACAGTAAATAATTCAAGTAAAATCAAGAAATTCGATCGGCGGCGAAAACAACGGCGCTGAATTATAGCAAAAAAAAAAAATACTTAACGGGTTCTTAAGTCCTATTAAGGACAGGCTTTTATTTGAACTCTGATTGCGGTCAAACATTTTTTTTTTTTTAATTTTGAATTTCGCTGAATTATTTAACGGCGATTTTTAAAATAGATAAAAATTTCAATATTTTATTTACCTTAAGTAATAACTTTTAATTTTGTACGATTATTTTCATACTATAATATTGTCTTGAAAACAAAAAAAATGCATCAGGAAAATTTATATTTATTAATTTTCATTAAAAAATTTTCAACAGGTCTTTTTAATGTTTTAGGTTCGAAATAAAAAATAATAATAATTATGAATTTTTAAGGACAAGGAAGGCTCATGAAAAAAAAACTTCATTGGGAACTAGTTTTTATTCTGTGAACTATAGCAAAATCAAATAATTGTATTTGCGCTAAGCAAGTAATGATGATGAGCGGTTATTAGAAGACGCCAGAATTTTTAACAGGTGAATTTTTTTTTCTCTCTCTCCTAATATTAAGTTTATTAATATTATTTTGTTTCGTTATAATTATTATTTTAACGATCATCTTTAATATATTCAACGACATAATAGCTATAATATTACATTGACGATATTAAGGCAATAATTGTTAAGAATTTTTTGGAATGTAGCATTTTTCCGTTAAGTATATTCATCGCGCGCAATTTCAAGGCTTTGATTATTATTATTAGCTTATGAATAAAATTATCTTTTGGCCTTTTGAATTCTTGTTCATTCATGTACATATGATAAAAATGTAACGATGAATGAGTTAATTTATTATAATTTTATGGCATAAAGTTCTAAATCGTTTTCATTATTGAATTTACTTTTTAATTTTTTATAACTGACACCATACTATATCGGATTCAAATAACGACGTTTTTTTTTTTGTTAACCTATTGAAAACCAACCCAACTGAGTTACTCAAATTTGTAATTTTTGATTTGTTTTAAAAAAGTGATTTCAATTAGTATTAAGAATTTAATTTCATTTGTAGGTAATGTTTAAAAAGTTTTTTTAATATTAATAAGTATGTATGGAAAATTAACGTTTATTAAGAAAACTGGTGGAGATGGATCTAAGTACCCTGTGACTGTAAGAGATATTTCAATTGGAAGGTCTGATGATTGTTTGATTAAAATTCAAAATCCTCTTATAGATTTGAAACACTGTCACATAGTTGTTGACGATAATGATCAGGTATTGTGGTTAGCTATTATTAAAAAAGTGTTTTTTACAAATAAATACAATTTGTCTTTCTTTTCCCAAAAAACATTAGGTAAAATTAAAAAACTTATCAAGTCAAACATTTTTAAATGATAAACTGTTGACTGTAGGAGATTTTGCTCTGTGTCATGGAGATATATTTCAAATAGGTGATAGAGCGATAAGATGGGAATATCATACTTCATCTAAATATTATCAAAATAGGCTCTCATCGAATGGTCGCTTAGTCGCTGTCGTACCACCACAGCAAAGAGCAATGGTATGGACATTCAATTTTATCCTTTATTACTTTTGTTTTGTACCTTATTTTAATTCAACAGATTTAATAAATTTTTTTATTTACCAGAATGAAATAATGACTCCTGAGTCTTCTACATCCCAAATATCTCCTGCAAAGAAATGTGTTAGCGACATTAAAAAAAGATTTTCCGAAAAAATTGCAATAGGTAAATACTTATTCTTATATTCTAATTCTGTTTTTATTGCCATGGTATTTCTTATTACATTTATTTTTAAAAAAAAAAAATCAAAAATAATAATAATAATAATAAATTTTTTATTAAAGAAGACGTTTCGAGTAAAAAAATTGAGGTAAATAGTGCCAGTAAAATTTATGCAAGTTCTGGTAGTAGTACACCTAAAATTCATTCTCTTCGTCGCAGTCTCATGTTAACAAAAAGAATATTTAGCCCAAACAATCGTAAAAGTTTACCAGGGAGTAATAAGTATGTATAAATATATTCAAGTCAAAATGTTTTCCCATATATCATCGGTATTATTTTTTATTGAAATTTATTTTTCAGAAATGGTACACCTAAATCTAAAACCGTAGAAAACATGGAAAAAAGAAGCTTAACTCCGTGGGATGTAAAATCAATAACACCTCCGAGTGAAGCTAAAATAGGTCGTCGAAAAGATACTCCTATTAAAAAAACTTCAGTCGTTAACTCGCCTAAAAGATTTAAAAAATCTTTACGATTAAGCTTAAGCGGCGTACTAAAAGTTTCTAATTTAAATACTATCACTGAGTTTTCTCCGAAGGAAAACAACGAAATAAGACGATCGACTAAAAATTTAAATATTAAAACTAGTTCGAATACAAGTGAAGAATGTTCAACAAATTTGTTTACTACCCCTAAGAAAAAGTTCTCGAAAGGAAATAATTTAACGCAATCGGAAAATAGATCAAGTTCTGGAAAGTTTAACGATGACGAATTGAAAAAAATAAAACTTAATAAAGTAAATACGCTTTCAAAAAGCGTTGAAAAAAGGTCAAAGTCGCCTATGTTTTCAAAACGTCGAAAAACTATATCCGATACTTCTAATTTATTGTGTGAAAAATTTAATGAGGAAGACAAAGTGGAATGTTGGAGTAAATCCATTAAGAATGAAAATTTTACTTCTCAATCGCTGAATTCTCCTTCAAATGTAAAAAAATCACTGGATAGATTTCCTGTAGTTTCATTAATTGATATTAATGATGGTTTGAATTCACCAAGTGGTGAAAAACGTTTGATGAAACCTGAAACGGATGAGTCAATCTCAACATCGAAAGAAGCAGAAGGTTTATTACCAACTGAGAAAAGTTTATTATTAACTTCTAAAAATAATGAACAATCACCGGTTAAAGAGTCATGTAAAACTTCGACGACGATTTCAGTTAAAAAAACAGTTTCGAATCCGGTATCAATAAATAAATCTAAACAAAAACGCAATAACCCTTCAAAGATAGGTACGGAGACATTTCTTATAATATTCATTTAAATATCAATTTTTTAAATTAATAAAAAAAAAAAAAAAAATCGTGATTTATCCTATTAATTTTTATTTTCAGATAAAAGCAAAAAAGTTTCTCTTCTTGTTCTAAGAAAAGGAAAGAATCAAAATTTGCCGATTTCTCATCAAAACAAATTAAAAAATAAAATTGTAAAAAAAGCTATCAAAAACTCAACTGTGGCTAAGGTAAAAACTCAAGTTCAAATAATTTTTCCTTTTTTTTTGTTGTAACATTCAGTTAAATGTTATTTGATCATTAAATGTCAACATTTTTTTTTTTTTTTTTAGAATTTAAACAAAATAACAAAAGCGAAGGAAGATAAAAAAAGAATTTTAAAAGAGATAAATAATAAAAGAGAAGAAGAAAATTCTACTAACCTTTTTAAAAGTGGTGATATTTTAAAAGGTGGAAATAAATTTTTAGAATCTTTAACTCAAACTCCGAAAAATAAAAGTGGAAGAAAAAGTAAAATTCATACACTAGCTAATGAGACACCAAAATCTTGTACGAAAATGCACAATTCGCGTAGGGATTTTGAAGGAAATCTTTTGAAAGAAGGAAACGAGAATTTTGACATCGCATCGGAAATCATTTTCGATGAAAATGATGTTTTATTGTTTAATTCGAAGCGTCGCAGTTCGAAACGTTTGTTTTCCAAAAACGGCAATAATCAATTGGATTTCGTAGAATTGTCACCGAAAGCGTTGGGTTTGATTCCGAAAAATTTAGACAATTATCCCAGAAGTTCTAAAATTAAAAATAAACGAAGAAGTATCAGTTTGACTACTCCGAAAAAAAATTGTACGAGAGCATTAGTTAAATCTGCATCTACGACTAAAGTCGTTAAAAAAAGAAGTTTAAAAAATTCACCCGATGACCGCCGGTCTTTTTCTTCGAAAAATGCAAGCAATTCTTCACTTCAAATTCTATCGATCGATTTAGACAATCTATCAACTCCTAATATTTCTTTAGATGCTTTTGTATCGCCATTAAAAAGTTCTACGAATTCTGTTACCAACGATAGCGAAACGAATAGAAATGATGATGATGATGATGATGTTTTTGAAAAATCATCGAATAAAGAAAACTTGAAGACTCCGAAAAGTACGACCCGAATAAAATCTGCCCGGAAAATATTACAGACGCCTGAAATCAACAAGTTTTCTCAAAATACTAATTCAAATGTTAAAACGGAAAAAATTATGAATTTTAGCGAAAAAAAAGAAAAACTCAAACAAACGGCATCTAAAACAGATGAAAAATATCGAAGGCAAAATCAAGTTGTAACTCCAAGCATTAAGAAAAACTTATTTAAGACTTTATCTCAAGATGGTAATGCATTAAAAACTCCGGACAATGAAAGATTGGAAGAAAAAACATTGAATACATCGGTTAGTACTCCTGGAAGAAAAAGAAAATTTGAGAAATTAATGGACGATGCTCAAGAAATGGAAAAAGAAACTAGAACTAAAAAAATTTCTAGGACATGTAAAAGTCCCAAAAATGATTTGTCGGACGTGAAAGGAGTAAAGCAAATTTTTAGAAGTCCTAAAGTTCAGAAAAGTCCCAAAAACGATCTGTCTGATGTGAAAGGAGTAAAGCAAATTTTTAGAAGTCCTCGAGTCCAGAAAAGTCCCAAGAATGACTTGTCGGACGTGAAAGGAGTAAAGCAAATTTTTAGAAGTCCTAAAGTTCAGAAAAGTCCCAAGAATGACTTGTCGGACGTGAAAGGAGTTAAGCAAATTTTTAGAAGTCCTAAAGTTCAGAAAAGTCCCAAAAACGATCTGTCTGATGTGAAAGGAGTTAAGCAAATTTTTAGGAGTCCTCGAGTCCAGAAAAGTCCCAAAAACGATCTGTCTGATGTGAAAGGAGTTAAGCAAATTTTTAGGAGTCCTCGGGTGCAGAGAAGTCCCAAGAATGACTTGTCGGACGTAAAAGGAGTTAAGCAAATTTTTAGAAGTCCTCTAGTGCAGAAAAGTCCAAAGAACGACTTGTCTGATGTGAAAGGAGTTAAGCAAATGTTCAAAAGTCCTCGAGTGCAGAAAAGTCCTAAAAATGAATTGAATAATTTTGAAGGCGTACCTGAATTGTTTGCTTCGCCTTGTTCTAGTGCAAATGAGTTAGAAAAGAAAAATTTGTTATTATCTTCTGTAGATAAATCAAACGGTTTCTTAAATTCTAATTCAATGGACTTGGGAAATCATACGCATGATTCTCCTAAAACGAATTCCCGAGTAACCGAAACGGAAAATACATTTAGTCATGATAAAAGAAAAAGTAATTCAAACGTTGAAGAAATATTCTTGGACGGAGAAGAAACTGGAAGGAAAAAACAAAAAGCAGTCGAATCAAGCAGAATTTCAAAAGAAAATTTAACGGAAATTAAAGACGTTCAAAATTCAGTTGATGAAAACAAATCGTCCGATAATAAATACTTTGATTTTAATCCGGATGTTCAATCGCTCGACATTCCAGTTGGGAGCGGGAAAAAAAGAAGTAGAATGAATTCAAATAACGATTTAGAAGAATCGGTAAACAAAAATGCCGAAATCGTAATAAAAAGTGTGACATCGGGGAAAAGAGGGCGGCCTAGAAAAATCGTTGAAAAACCAGAAATTAAATCATCGGAGGATCCAGATAATAATGACAGTTACCAACAAAAATTACCCACAGACGATGTTTCCCCCAAAAGCAAACTCAGGGGTAGAAGAAAGAAAGAACTCGATATCGAATTCGAAGGTAGACAACTTAGATCTCGAAGTGTTCTCTCGTCTAATCAGCCGTCTACCCCTAATCTTCGCAAGAGAAAAGTCAACGTTGATGATGATGCGTCGTCAGGAACGGGTACCATCGTTGCAACTAAAAAGAAGACTTCGGCCGAAGAAAATGTTAAAAAGTCATCGTCGACCAAAACGAGGTAAAATTTGATAATCTATCATTATTATCTTACCGAATCTATGAATTAAATGGTTTCAATTATTAATTTTGCAGAAAGGAAGTTCAAGTTAAAGGAAGTAAAAGTAAAGAAACTTCCGGTTTAGCAAAAACTACGAAGAAGAAAAAAATTGACGTTGAAAATTCTTCATTTTCGGAATCCGAGACAAAAACGGGAAACGTTGAGAAAAAACCAAGGGTTAAAAAATTGAAAAAGTAATCTTAAAATAATAATAATAATAATAATATTAAGGGATTTTTATTTTAATTTATAAAAATTAAAAAAAATTATTTATTCTTTTTTTTTTGCAGTTCTCCGAAAATAAGTCCTAGGCTAACGAGAAACAGGGTGGCTGGAAAAAATTAAAAAGAAAAAAAGAAAAAGAGGTAAACGGCCAAGTTTTTCATTTTTAAACACGAAGTGCGATTTGTTCAATCTCCAAAATTTATTATTTTTTTTTTTTTTTTTTTATCTCTTTCAGGTATGATGATTTTCCATCTTATCCGTACTACGTTTTATGAAAAAGTCCTCGCATAATGTTTTTAATTAAGTGACGTGGCAAACATGGTTTACTATGGAAAATGGAAATGTTGCGACAATATTCACGGTAACATATATATATATATATATAATAATCATTAATTAATTTTAAACGATCCGATAATAAATTTTATCATTATTATTATTATTATTATTTTTAATGAATTTGATTTTTAGTTTTTTTTTTTTTTTTTATAAACAAGTAAAGAAAAATATTATGGGTTAATTTTTAATAGTAGGGTGATTTTCCCCTTTGGTAAATTATTTTAATTTATATAAACGAATAAAATTTTATATTTTATAATATTTTAAACTATTATTATTATTATTATTATTAAATAACGAATTCTAATGACTAACACAAGGGTTGTTTACGAGGGGGGGGGGGAGTCAAAGGTCAAGGGGAAAAGGAAGCAAGAAAAAAACTCATATACAAACGATTTATTTTTAAATTTATATATATATTCTATCTATCGTCTAAATAATTATATTTTAGCTAAGACCACGTTTCCGTTTGATATTTTCCACTTTTCTCCATGTTCGATATAAAATTTTCCGATTCGTTTTCCGTTAATTTTCCATAGGTTTGAACGACTTTAACAAATGATTCTCTAACGCTTTGCGGCATGTTTTTAGAACTTCCAGCTACGAAAATAAAACATTTTTGATTTTTTAACATTTTCCAAACTATTTGACCCTGATTTACTATCAAGTGTTGTACGTATCTAAAAAAAAAAAAAAAAAAAAAAAAATTTTTTTCTCCCATAGCATATAAACAAAACGTTTCCCCCCATTTAAAAAAAAAAAATTTAAATTAAATTAAATTAAATTAAATTAAATTTACATTTTATTTTGTTGATCTCTCGAAAACGCACAAAACATATTTAAATAATTTTTATTTCTAAGATGATCCCATTCGTCTTTGCAATGAAAATCATATTTCTCGTAACGGCAACCGAAAAAAAGAAGCAAATTTTCCGACGAAGCTTTTCCACGTGCTACTAATTCGTTCACGTAACTTCGAAAAGGCGCCACTCCGGTTCCAGGTCCGATCATAATGACAGGAGTTTCCTCCTAAAACGCGAGGTAAAACTCATAAATTAATTTTTTTTTTTTTTGTTTCACGCGTAAAAATTCGCACGTAATTTGAATTTTTTTTTTTTTTTGATTTTTACCCAAGAGGGAAATTTAAATGAGCCTTTACGAATCCAACCGTAAACTTTTGAATCGACATTTAAATTAGCCAAATACGTCGAACATAATCCAATTCTTTTATCGATTAATTTCGTTTTATATTCGACAACTGCTAACAATACGTGTAGACTGTTTCGATGCATCTAAAAAACAAAAATAATTTTCCCCTTTATAGGTGCGTAAGGTATGAGAGTAATAATAATAATAATAATAATAATTTCTTTTACCGATGGAGAACTCGCTATGCTGAATGCACGAGGTCTAATAGGTTGTAATATTTCAAATAAAAATTCTAACGTTATATTTTTTGTCGCGTACGGGAAATCCGCCAATACTTCTAATATGTTTCTCTTAGGCCTATTGCAATAATTATATAAATCTTCTTGACCTTTGGCTTCGGAAAATTCTTTGAGTTTTTCTCGTTCCAATTCGTTTGTCGTTAAATAACTTAAAAGGAGGAAAACGTATCGCCTCGGTACAGCCTGAGTAACAAAACAATTTTTTTTTTTTTTTACATTTCGAGTAAATTCTATTACTTTTAGAAATAAATGACAAACAAAACACAAACGTTTAAATCCCAATATTTCTTAGCACATTCAGACAATCGAATGGGATGCCTTAACGGTTCAGGTACTGGCATGTCTGCATCTTTAGCCATTATCTGTACTAAATCGCAACCGTGAAACTTTTGATCATCCCCACGATTTTCATTTAATATTTTAAATAGCATGTCCGTTTTCTCTTGACTGTTTTGAGGTACCAACATCAAAACATCACCCGGTTGATAATTCAAATCATTGGGTTTGTCAAATTTTAATAGTCTGACATCTTGAAAATGATTTTCGTGAGTCGTTCTTTCGTTCGAAGTTAATTTCAGCATGCATGGGTTTCTTTGAGAATATGTACCTTTGGTGAATTTTTCACTATTGTAATCATTTTCCAAAATTTTTGGTTGTAATTTTTCAACGTTCCATCTGAAATGTTAGACGATGAGATTGTAATAATGGAATTTTATGGCGATTGAATAAAATAAAAAATGTGATGTTTGTGTGTGTGTGTGTGTGTGGCACCTTGCAGATGGAGCACTTTGCAATTTGATATTTTCTACTGGTATATTATATAATTTTCCTACTGTTAACCAAAATTTTTCTAACCATGGATCAACCACAGCATCGGGACCCAAATCATGTTGATCATCTGCAAGTCCTGTCTCAATTAAAGGTGAACCCCCCAAGTTGCAAAGTCTTCGACTAAGCCTTTTAGCGACAAAATTAAATTTGACATATGATGAATCGCCCAAACCTAACACTGAAATGAATAATAAAAAAAATTGTGTGAGCGGATTTGACATTATTGTGCGACAATTGAAATGATTAATTGTAAATAAAATAGTAAACCTGCATATTTCATATTTGAAAGAGAATTACTCGGCAAACATTTACGTAGTAAAAATTTCCAAAATTTTTTCATATTATCTGGTTCTTCACCCTGACCAGTTGTTGAGCAAACGAAAACAACTATTGATTCATAAATTAAATTTTCCACCGGATAATCGTCCATAGATTTAACAACACTGCGTAAATTAACTTGTTTGGATTCTCTCCATATTCTTTCGGCAATATCTTGTGCGGTTCCTGTTTGACTGCCATATAATATTAATATTTTTCTTACATCCATTTTTTTTGACGTGTTAGGGTTAAAAAATTTATTTCGTTAAAACAAGAAAAAAAAAAAAAAATGACATCATTGAAACATTTTAATGTCCGAAAATCGTACCTAAAATATTAAAAACAAATATTATTTAAAACAAAATGATTGATTAACAATTTTACAATCTTTTCAAAAACAGGAAAAAAAAAAAAAAAAAAAAAACAGTTTTAAAATTAAAAAAATGATTTTTAAATTGGTAACGCAAGTAAAAAAAAATTATTCAATTTGCAAAAGTTGGCCAAACTGTCTGTCAAATCATTTTCTAATATTGACGGAATTCGGTAATTTTTTAAAAATTCCATTAGACTTTTTTCTTTTATTAAAAAAAAAAATTTTTTTTTTTTGCAACATTAAACGTTAACGAAAATATAAAAATGTGAAAAAAAGTGAAAAGAAATCGATTGATAATGTTAAATAATTATTATTATTATTTAAAATAAGTTTTAAAAAATGTATTTTTTAAAATTTTTATGTTCTAGTGACATCCATGGGTCTTCAATTTATTTATTCGGACTCTTTAAAATCGGTTTTATTTCTCATCGTAAATTCAATATTAATTAGATTAAGTTCTCAAATAGGGGTAAGTCAAATATAATTTTTAAATCTTTTTTTTAAAATATGTCGATATTTCGACAGAAATGAATATATATGTATAAAACGATTGAGTCGGTTCAAAGGAGGTACTTGTAATGTTCAAATTATTATTATTATTATCATTTGTTAAATTTTTATAATTTGTTTTTGGCAGTGATTTGAGATTTCAATGATGGAATTACATAAACATGTTTTTTTATTTTAAGGAAAATGAAATCTTCATCATGTCTTTGTTTGATTAACAAAAAAGAATTTTCTTTCATTCAACCTTGATTTTGAAGTTTAGCATTAAATTTTATTTTTCTCGTTTTATTCGAGTGATGCCACTCATGTGACATTACAATATAATAATAATAATAATTTAGTTTTTTACATTACAAGTTTCTATAATTAAATGAATGAACATTTCTATATATATATATATGTTCATTGATTTTATGTTTCTGTTGCTTTTTTTTTTTTTTTTTAAAATAATTTTATTTATCGATTGATTATCTTAAATTTTTAATTTTGTTTAACGAAAAAAAAAAAAAAAAAAAAGCATGTTGTAGATTTTATTCGATGAGAATGAAAATGATGGAAATTTTTGTGTAAAGTTAACAGCATGTTCACACTCGGAAAAAAAGAATGTAATGAATTAATGAATGAATGAATGATTGAATTGATTGAATGAATGATAACTGTTGTAATTACACATTTTGTAAAATAATTATATGTCTTCAAAAACAAACAAACAAACAAACGAACGGCAAAAGGGTTTAAATTTTAAATAAGTGTTTGTTTTCTTTAAATGTTTTGTTTTAAAAAAGAAAAGGTAATCAAATTTGACTTTAAAACGTTTTTTTAAATCATCATTCGGTACCCCGGAAACGACATTAAAATTAAGCAAAAGAAAAGAAAAGTCGTGTGGAAGAAGATTTTCCAGTGAATTTATAAAGACCTTGCTATTTGTACAAATGCAACGCTTATGTAAATTCATGTTCCTCGTAAAAAGGAAAATTTCATTAAAAATGAATGAAAGAGAAAAAAGAAATTTACTTCCGGAAAAAAAAAAAAAAAAAATACCAAGGAAACAGGTCAAATCACGTTCGAGTAAAAAAACAAAAAAAAATTAAAAGTGAGAATGGATAAATGTGACGTCACTTAAAAGTCATACGTCACACGATTTACGAAAAATTATTATTTATATTGGAATGCCTCGTGATGATTCAAGGCGTAATGTAAAAATCAAAAAAGAAATTTCCTGAAAGAAATTTCAGGAATAAACAGGAAAAACGTTAAAGCGCAAACTCGGAAAACGCAACAGAAAACAGAATGAATAAAAAAAAGGAAGGAAGGAAGGAAAGAAGGGAGACAGGGAAAAGGGAAGTGATAGAAGAAAAAGGGGGGGGGGAAACGACAGATTTTTATGAATTTTTGTATAAATCGGATTATATCAATGTAACGTTATCACACAAAATGATAATAATGATAATAAAACGAATTGGAATTATGGAAACTACGATGGAATTCAATTTATAGACAAGCAGTTACACAATTTACAAGAAAAAAAAAATTTTTTTTTGCAGTCGACGATCGAATTTTCAAATTCCAGTCAACCGCATACCTGAAAATAAGAAAAATAAGGCCGAAATCAACAAAAAAACCTTGACACTAGAGATTATATCATTATCATTATTATTATTATTATTATTATTTTGTACAAGTTTAATTTTGTCAAAAAATTTTGTTTTCGTTCGTTCGTTTGTTTTTCTCACTACTACTGCGTTTTGTTAATTTATTGACTCTTTCGAATACGAAAAAAAAAAGTGATAATAATAATAATAAGTTTTATTATTTCGAAAAGGTCGAATCGATGATTATTATTATTATTATTATTATATTTTATAAAAAAATTTTTTTTTTCGTTTGAATTAAAAACGAAAATTCGAAATTCTTAATTATCATCATCATTTTCACTTATCATTTTTGTTTTTTATTCCAACAATAAAATCAATGTTATTACGAAACAACAACAACACAAACCGAGGACCGAGTTCAAACGAGTTCATAAAAATGGAGACGAAATTTTTTTAATATAAAAAACATTTTATTACGAATATTTCATAAGAAGAAAAAAGAAAAAAAAAACAAAAAATTATTATTAATATTATTATTATTATTAATTGGATTCGAAATAAGCTGTTTTCGTGGGGAAATTGTCATCGTCATCGTCATAAGGGAGGACAAGGAGGAGGAGGAGAAGGGATGAAAATTAAAAGGAACGAAACAAGAGGAAGAGGAGGAGGGATGAAAATTAGAAGGAACGAAACAGGAGGAAGAGGAGGAGGGATGAAAATTAGAAGGAACGAAACAGGAGGAGGAAGGGGAGAGGAGGAATGAAAAAAAAAAATGAAGGAATAAATTTCGATTGCACAACGATAGATTTTCGACAAAACTTTTTATTATTTTTTGTAATTTATCGTATTTTTTAATTAATTAACGAATCCAGACGAAAATACGATGGCTCCACAGAAAAGAGAGAGAGAGAGAGAGGGGGGGAAGGATGAAAAGAATCAAAAAACCCAACAAAATCGTAGATTATGCGAGTGAGAGATAGAGATAAATATATATAGAGAGAGAGAGTTAAATCTTGACGTAATGTTTGTTCGTTTGTTGTTTGTTTGTTTGTTTGTTCGCAAGAGGAAAAACAAACACTCTCTCATATTCGTATTAAAAAAATTAAAGAAAAAAAAATATTCGTTTCGATTTTTAACGTCCCATTTCCCCCCTCCCCCGCTATCTTCGTAGAAAAAAAAATCGTCGTCAAAGACGTACAAAACGAGAGAGACAGTGCCAGAAGAAGAAGAAAAAAAAATACGATAGGAAAAGGATAGACGAAAAGGAAAAATGAAGAGATTGAAAATGATTTAATAATAATAATAATAATAATAATAATAATAATAATAATAATATACGAATGAAATTAGTGAAATTTATCAATTGATGGGATTCGTGGAAATAAAGAACCAACGTGCGCGCGTTCAGGCACACGAAATTTTTTTTTTTTTTACATAAATGATGAATGAGTCGATCGAGAAGAAGAAGAAGAAGAAGTAGGTTGGTTGTCTTCGACAACTCCGGTGGAAAAGGAAATTTACAAAAAAATTTTCTGTACAAGTTCAGACAAAAATTCCAGAATGTTTTTATCACAAACGTAGGCGCGCGTGCAAGTACAGACAGTGTAGTCGAGATTTTCGAACGGATTTTTTTTTTTTATTTATTTACGAAATTATTATCATTATCATTATCATTAGTTATTTTGTTTTTTTTTTTTTTTTTTTCTTCAGTCGGTTTTAGTCAGGCTGGGCGTGTCGGTGTTTGTGTTTACGTGCGTGCGGTAGCGTGCGTGCCTGATGGTGGTGGTGGTGGTGGTGTCGATAAAAGTTTGAATTTTATTATTATTATTATTATTATTTTTTTAAAATTTATCTTAATTGTTTAAAAATCTTTCGTATTTATTTTATTTCGTTAATTGTTATACTTTTGTTGTTTCACGACAAACACTAATAATAATAATAATAGTAGTAAGGTTGATTGTGATTAAATATCGAAACAGTTCGATTCGGATTTTCGTTTCGTTCGTGTACGGTTTTGTTACTGAAACAAAATTTTTTTTTTTTTTTTGTACGTTCCTTTTCTGGTAATGCGATGGAAAGGGAGTGAGTGAGGGAGGAGGGAGGGTTTTTGAAAAAATTTTCCGAAAGCTTTTTACACGGGGGGAGGGAGGGAGAGGAGGTTAAAACAAAAAAAAAAAAAAAAGGAAAAGTGCTGAGAGATTTTTGAAAAGTGGGAAGAAATGAAATTTGTTTTTCGAGGGGCGGTGGGGGGAAGGATGAATTTTTTTATTTTTTGAGGTAAAGAGAGAGGGAAAGGGGGAGGGTAAGATAGGAGACGTTTGAAAATCGTTTGTTCGAATCATACAAAAAATTTTTTTTTTTTAAATCGTCAAAATATTTTACTAATCGTACGTGATTGTCTTAATTGCGGTGGAAATTTTTTCGAGATTTCCCCCCTTTCGTCTCCCCCCCTTAGCCCGATACGTCTTCGAGTGAATCGATTATTAAAGCCACGTTTAAAGGAAAACAAAAAGTTTAAAAAATAATAATAATAATAATAATAATAATAAATTTTGAACGCGTCATTTCGTCATTTAATGTCAGGTTATTTATAATCGTACACAACACGAGTCTCTGAACATTTTTGTAACTCGTAATTTTATTTTTCTCTTTAAAGCTAGCCTGTAGTAAATCTATATTTGTGAATCACCATAATCATAATCATCATCATCATCGCCATCGCCATCGCCATCGCCGTCGGGTCGCGAGTCTTTTATCGTAATTGCCTTTTTAAAACGCCAGCCAGAAATAGTTAATTGAATTTGAAATTTTTTTTATTCCAATACTATTTGTCCTCCTCGTCGAAACGTTTCAGGTGTTGTTTTCTTTCCCCCCCCTCTCCCCCACCTCCTTCTCTTCTTTTGAGTTTAAACCGAACGAAACGGAAAAATTCGAAAATGATCGTGTCGTGTGAGGAAAAGAACGATGAAAAGTTTAAAAAGAAAAACTCAAACAAAAAAAAAAAAAAAAAATCGTTTGCGGTGGTTGTTGGTTGTTGTTGGTTGTCATTGTTGTTTGTCCCGGGGTTGGTGTTCGAAGGGGGTCGATAAGAACGTATTGTTTGTCTTCGTTGATTAATTTCATCCCGAACTAAACTCAGACCAACCAAATGGTGTAAAAAATCACAAAAAAAAAAAAAAAAAAAAATCGAACGGTGTTTGTTTTTCCGCCCTCATCCCCACCCCCACTCCCCATTCGGAAAGATAAGTGCGATGGGATAAGTAAACATAACAAACACACACACACACACGCCGTTGGGTTTTATTATTATTATTATTATTATTATTATTATTATTAGTATTAGTTTTCCCGTGATTTTTGTTTAACGTCCGTGAAACTTATTGTGACGTGTTTTTTTTTTTTTTTTTTTTTTGTTTTAGAACAGACGACAGTTAATTTTTAAAAAAAAATTTTTTGTTTGTTTGTTTGTTTGTGTTGAAAAAAATGAACTCATACGATCCGTGAAAATTTAAAGGAAAAATAACAAAAAAAAAAAAAAACAAATTGTTTGAGGGGGCTAGGGGGTCTTTGAAAATGATTGAAAAAAGCGTGGGAATGAGAAAAGCGCGAAAGGTGATTTTTTTCAAAATGATAATAATAATATGATTAATTATTATTATTATTATTATTACGAAGTTTTCCTTTTTCCTTTTTTTTTTGTTTTGTTATGACACGTTTGGAGAAATTTGGGCAAAGCAACAAAACTATTTATACACGAGGTTTTTTTTAAATGTCACAAAAATATTGCTGTCGTTATTGTTTACTATTATTATTATTATTATTATCATTATTATCATTATTATTAAAAAATTTTTAAATGTCAAATTCGACGTGTGAATTAATTTGTTTGTTTGTTAGTTTTTACTGTTTTCCTTTTTTCTTTTTTTCTTCTCTTGTTTTCTTTATGCGCTTTTACTATTATTCTAATTTTACAAAAAAAAAAATTCATAATTTTTTTTTTTTTTTTTTTTTAATGTATATCAATCAAATTAGGCTTTGTTAATAATAGTAATGGTAATAATAATAATAATAGTAATAATAATGATGATGATGATAATATTCGATTCATTTTACGACTAAATTGTTAAATTTCGTTTTGTTTATTTTTATTTTTGGATTTTGTCGATTGATTTTTTTTTTTTTTCCGTTTTTTTATTAACGGATGCATTCGTGAATTAAATTTTTTAATAATAAAAAAAAGAAAAAAAATCCAAGTTGAAAAATCTTTTTTTTTCGGGAGGGGGGGGTGGGAGATGGGGTGAAGGGATTTCGAACATGCTTTGCCCAGGTTTTTCCACAAACAGTTGCCACAACATTATTATTGCTTGGTGATGACGTCACTTTCTTGGAAGGTGTTTACCTCACCTTTCAACGGTACGTAGACGGTTTATTATTATTATTAGTTTTTGTTTAAATTTGTTTTAACCCCTTCCTTTCCCCCCCCCCCGCTTCTGAAATTGCAATGTTATTATTATTATTATTAAAGAAAAGTCAAATACCTCAAATGTCGCGTTTGAAATGTATCGATTATGATATAATTTTTATTATTTTATTTATTTATTTATTTTTTTGGTTTCAGAAAGAGACTGGTAAAAATGGCCAGCAATGATAATGGACAATGAGCAACCCCATCAGGAATTGGTAAAATGCGTCGTGGTGGGTGATACGGCCGTTGGAAAAACTCGCCTTATTTGTGCAAGAGCCTGCAACAAGCATGTTTCTCTATCGCAACTGTTAACGACCCATGTTCCGACAGTATGGGCCATAGACCAATACAGAATTTACAAAGATGTAAAAAAAAAATAAAAAATTTTTTTATTTTTGTCGTCGTCGCGGTTTCGTCATTTTAAAAAAATTTTTTTTTTCCTTCGAACAGGTTTTGGAGAGATCTTGGGAAGTCGTGGACGGCGTGAACGTTTCACTGAGACTGTGGGATACATTTGGAGATCATGAAAAAGACAGACGATTCGCATACGGACGGTATGGATTTTTTTTAAACCCTTTGGAAAATGATTGTTGGATTTTCCATAATTTTATTTTATTTATATTGTATTTAGATCGGACGTAGTATTATTATGTTTTTCAATAACGAATCCGGTGTCTTTGAAAAATTGCGTAGCCATGTGGTATCCGGAAATCAGACGTTTTTGTCCTCAAACTCCAGTTTTGTTGGTCGGATGTAAAAATGATTTGAGATACATGTACAGGGACGAAGTTTATTTAAGTTTTTTCAAAGACAGGAGTCCATTTTTGAGGTGAATTTTTGTCGTTTCGATTTTTTTTTTACCATAAAAATTATAAATAAACTAAATTTAAAAAAATTTATTTAAATCCGCAGAGCCACGAGGAAAAGCGATTTGGTTATGCCGGATCAAGCAAGAGCCGTCGCTCGCGAATTAGGCGTTTACTATTATGAAACTTCTGTGTTGACGTATTACGGTGTGAACGAAGCTTTTGAAAATGCGATTCGTGCGGCTCTTTTAGCGCGGAGACATCAAAGGTTTTGGATGACGAATTTGAAAAAAGTTCAGAGACCGTTGCTTCAGGTAAAAAAAAACGTTTCGCAGGCATTTTTGCGCGTGAAAATAAGTTTATTATTATTATTATTGATAATTTGAAATCGTTTGATTTCATTGCAGGTTCCTTACATGCCTCCCAAACCAAGTTCACCGGAAATATTCGTAACTGCGAGTTCTTACGATGAAAATTGCATGACTATGTTTTTGGCTCAAGCTCACACGGATGTTATATTAGTTTCCGGTTCGGTTAGATTTCCAGCGCACAGGTTCGTTGTTTTAATTAAAACCTTAATTACCCTTTAATAATTTTACGATTGAAGTATTCCATCGTCACGGTTTTAATTATTGGTCTAGGTTTGTGTTAGCCGCCGGTTCGCCATCTTTTCAGCGTCTCTTGCTACTGGATTTCACATGCGATTTACTCGCTCGCAGTTCTAGCGATTCAAGCATGACTTCGACCATCGAAGAAGCTACCCAGGGTGAATTTAATAAAGATACCGAATACCTCATAAGAAGCGAAGTAAAACACAACAAGTAAGAAAAGTCGCGAAATGAAAGTCGTCGTCGTCGTCGTCGTCGCGTCTCGCGTATTATTCGTTGAAATTTTACGTTCGTGCAATTTTATAAAAATTGATTAATTTCGAGTTTCAGAGTTTGGGATCAATTGAAACGACGATCGAGTTGCCAAGTTTTGTCCACGAATAACATTCCGAAAAAAGTTTTACACGAATTAAATCATCCCGCATTCGAGTCGATATCGTTAAAACAATGCGAAGGTCTCGACCACCGAGGCAAAGTCACAAACACCACTCAGACTGTTATAACACTAACCAAACTAATAACATTACAAGCTCTTAAACAGTGCTTGCAATTTATATACAACGGAACGATCTCAACAAGGAATCAAAATGAATTGCAGGTAAGTAATGGAGTTTCTTTGTTTAAACTGTGTGCGTGTGTGTGTGTGTGTGCGCGTGTGTGCGTGTAACGAAGTACTAATGTTTTGGTATTCGGAATTAGGAAATCCGTCAGGCGGCTGAATGCTTAGATTTCCCCGAGCTTTTAGTATTTGTATCAAATATTTTAACACGAGAAGAATTTCAAAACACTGAACTTCGTCAGCGCTATCGACAGGTGACATTTTTTTTTTTTTTTTTTTTTTCTATTATATTGACAATTAATTACCTCATTTAATTTTTTTTTTTCTTTTTTTTTTTTATTTATTTAGGCCGTACGACAAAGACTGAAAGAATTATGTATTCGACAAGGGTTAATGTCAGACGTGGTATTTCAACTGGATGACAGTTCGTTTCCGGCACACCGTGCCATATTAATGGCTCGCTGCGACGTTATGAAAGCAATGTTTAGCGGAGATTTTCGGGAAAGTGCCGCCAAAGTTGTAAGATTCGTTTATTAATAATATTTTTTCACCCTCCTCCCCCCCCCCTTAAAAATTTAATTGTCACATTACATTATTAAGAGTCGTGCGTTTAATTTGCAAAACATAATTTGTTTTTAAAGATATTGTTTCCCGGAGTGCGAGAAGATACTTTTGTTCGCCTTCTTTTGTACATTTACACGGATGACATACCATTTATAAATCCTCTCAGATGTGTCGACATATTAGAACTAGCCAATAGATTATGCCTGCCACGTCTTGTCAATTTAGTAGAGCAGAGAGTAGTCGAAGAATTAACACGATCATCCGTCACGCAAGAATGTAACGATGCACTGGAACACTGTTTGCGTTTATTAGAAGCAAGCAAGGTAACACACGTAAAACAAACAAACGTTTGTTTGGTTGTTTGTTTGTTTGTTTTACGTTTGTTTTTTTTTTTTTTTTTTCAGTTGCACAATGCCGATCAATTGGCTGACTGGTGCTTGAAGTACCTTTGTACAAATTACGATAAAATATGTAAGAAATGTCCGAAATTGTTAAAAGGTTTGCATCCGGATAATCAAGAATATCTTCGAGAGCACAGATGGCCTCCCGTATGGTAAAATTAATTTTTTAAATTAATTTATTGCTCCGTTTAAAACACATTAAAATAATAATAATAATAATAATTTACAAAAGCATTTTTTTCTATGATTTATTATTATTATTATTATTATTATAACATTTCAGGTATTTAAAAGAATACGATTATTATGAGAAATGCGTCGGAGAAAGAGAGAGAGAAGAAAAAACTTTATTGAAACGAAGTCGGAAAAATTCAGGATGTTTATGTTTTACATCGAGCAAATCCAAAGAAGATAATCCAGATGGTAATCCCGAGGATAATCCAACATTTACGCAACAAGTAAGTTTCTCTCTTTATTTAAATAAATTTAAAAAAAAAAAAAGATGGACGGTTTTAATTTTATTATTATTATTATTACTTGTATTTTTTTTCCCCCCCCAGGTTGAATTGACGGGAGAAACAATTGAATCGAACGAAACCGTATGACGAATTTTTAACGGACTGACAACTTTGACCCCTTTTTTGTTGACAGTCCCAATCGCAACAATAATAGCCGCCACCGATCATTTGCCTCGGTGAGCGTCTTTTATCGACCCCCGTATTTCCAACGTTATCGTCGTCGTCGTCGTCGTCGTCATAATCATCACTATCATCATAATCACGTCTACAGCATCAGCAGCAGCAGCAGGAGAGCAGGAGCAGGCAATGGGACAAGAATTCTATTAATTAGAATCGCAGAATTCAACGAAAAAAAAGAAGATGAAGAAACAAAAAAAAAAAAAAAACTATTAGTTTTTTTTTTTTTTTTTTAGAAAGTTAATTTCGATAATGAGAGTCGAAGAAGAAGAAGAAGAAGAAGAATTTATTTGATACCGTGAAAGTGGAGGGTAAAAATATTATATTTACGAACATAATAATTTATTTTTTTTTATGTAAAAAAAAAAAAATTAGGGAGATTAAGAAAGTTTACTATTCGCGCACGTCGTCACGCGCTGCGTTTTTTCTGAGTAGCGTAGGAGAGTCACGCACGCGAATCATCTAGTAAACTTTAACATTTAATCATCGTCGTCGTATTTTTTTTTTTAGGACCATCACCTTTTTAAAGAAAGTAGTAGTCATTGTATAAAAAAAAAAAAAATGAATAAATGATTGAATGAATGAATGAATGAATGAAATTTGACAAACGTGCGAAAAATTAATTAATTAATTACACGTGCAGTATTAGATTATATATATATATATATATACATACGTATACATTTATATGTAAACATTTAAATTCGCGGATGCTGCCAAATATTTAATATTTTCCCGAGAGAAAAAGAAATTTAAATCAATCAATCAATCAATCAATCATCTTTCAGGTATTAAAAAAAAAAATCTCGAATGTTAATTAGAAAGAAATTGTCTGTTAAAAAAAAAAAAAAAAAAAAAAAATTTCGTACCTGTTTAAAAAAAAAAAAACGTCACATCAGTAATAAATAATTAGGATCGCGTTATCATTTTCACCGTCATCGTCACCGTCACCATCATCATCAACGTCATCGTCATCGTCATCATTGGGGGTATTTATCATTGCTGATGTTGCCACGAGTTAAAAATAAATTGATTGATACGTCGTAAGACACTTGATGATGGTCGCCATCTTTTTTTTTTTTTGCGTGCGCGCGTGTGTGTGCGTGTGCTTGTACGCGTGCATCGTACGTGCAAATAAGCATTTAATTTAATTAATTATTTTTTTTTGGTTTTGTGCGAAAGTTAAAAATCACGTTTGTGTCATTAAAAAAATTTTATTTTTATTTATTTTTTTTCTTGTTTTTTTCGTTCGTTTGTTTTTTTTTTTTTTTTTTTTTTTCGATTTGATTGATGGTCGTAAATAATTAGTCGACGAAAAAAAAAATGGGAAAAGAAATTACTTTTATTATTATCATTATTATTATTATTAATTTAAAAATTTTCAGGTCGATGGAATAAGTTGTTTAATTATTAAAAAAAAGGGATAAAATCGGAATGGTTGTCATCATCATCATCATCATCATCATCATTTTCATATACATCGTCGACAATTTTTCGAATAGATTTTTTTCCACTCTCTCTCTCTCTCTCTCTTTCTTTCTCTCTTTCTCTATTTACAATCAGAGGGTGTAAAATTTTAAAAACTTTTTATTTATTTATTTATTTATTATTATTAATTCAATAATAATAATAATAATAATAAATTATATCTTTTGTTTTCTTTTTTTCTTCATTTTGTTCCGTGATTGTAAAATGAAAAAAAAAAAAAAAAAAAAATTTTATCGATTTATATTTATATACATGTATACATAATAAATAAATGACATGTAACTTTCTTTCTCTCTCTCTCTCTCTCTCTCTCTCTCTCTCTCTCTCTCTCTCTCTCTCCTATATTTTACTTTATTTTCTCTCTCTCTCTCTCTTTCACTTAAAGGACGTGAAAAATATCATACGCGCTCTCACTCACACACATCCGCGCTCGATTTATTATAAATAAAAAATAATTAAACATTTTAAAAAATAAAAATTATAATTTAAATAAATAAATAAACAAAAATTAAATAAATAATTAAATTAGTTAAATAAATAAATAAATAATAATAATAATAATAATAAATAAATAAATAATTAAAAAAAAATTGATTTAATAAATTTGTTCTTTTCTTGTCAAGTGAATTGTTTTACACATTTCACTTCTTTCAAGGATCGAACGCATTCGTTTTTTTTTTTTTTTTTTTTTTATACAATACACGTGGTGTTGCGTATTATTATTATTATTAATATTAATTTGATAAGATATTTAATGATGACGTCAATTTATTATTATTATTATTATTATTATTATTATTATTTACAGTATTTAAGTATTATTATTGAAAAAAGTATGTTTTCAGGTGAATTATTCGACGGATGAAATTTTTGTTCGTGTATGTTCTACGTGTATAAGTCTACGATATATATATATTCAAATGTCCAATTACGTACCTAATGGTCATTATACCTATACATATGTGCATGAAGAATGTCGTAATTAATTAATAATAATAATGATGATGATGATGATGATGATGATAATGGGGTAAGTCGAAAATAATTTTATTATTAATAGGTGTTGGGTTTCTTCCACTTGTCTTGTCTTGTCCTGTCTTTTGTTTTTATATATATATATATATATATATATATATAAGTATAAGTCAGTCGATTGTTATAATACTGTCGTGGTAAGAAAGTGTATGAGAGTGAGAGAGAGAGAGAGAGAGAGACAATCGTCAAAAAAAAAAAAAATCTTTGGTATAAGCTTAAATTCGTCGTCGTCGTCGTCGTCGTCACAAGGTCGTCTGTCGTTTAAAATAACGTCTTTTTGTGTTTTCCGCTGTTGCAACCCGTTCGCAGTATGGTCCGCGAAAATTCACGAAAATTTTATGAATGATAACGCGCACTGACCGAATCGAGATTTTCTTTTCAAAATAAATTTTCCACCGTCGAATATGCTCTGTAAGCTAAATCCGATGCGTCCCACGTGTTCGTTTCGTCATTTTTGTCGTAAATGCTTCTTCTGTCCCATCCGCCGCCACTTCCGCCGCCGGATGCCCACGGTCCGCCACCCGAGCTACCGCTATCCCATCCTCCGCCTCCGTGACCGCCTCCGGCTCCCTTATTTTTCATCAATTTTTTTATTATCATTATTTTGCTTATGGTTAATGAAATGACGCTCGCGATCAAAGCCTGGAAAAAAAAAAAATCAATTTCTTATCAATATCATCATCATCATCATCATCAACAACACGTTATCAAAAAAACTTACTTTGATCGCCATGAGACCCGCCATTCCCAATATCAACGGGCCCAACATCATCATTTTAGCTTTTAAACCCATCATCATCATCATCATCATTTTTTTACCCATTTTACCACCGCCGCCGCCTCCTTTTTTCCTTCCTTCGACTCCCGTAGAATATGGAAAACTAAAATCTAGGGATGTGGTCGTGGTACTTCCTCCTTGAAAATTTCTACTTTCCGACGGTTTGACAACGGAAAAACTATTCGGTACTTTTACTCTTAATATGTGCGAATTCAAAAAACTAAAACAAAAACAAAAACAAAATGGACGCGATACGTAATGACTTTTTGTGTTTGTGTTTTTCGTCGTCGTCACCCGTAATTATATTTGTAAAAAAAAAATATTTTTCTTTTTTCTTTTTTTGTCTACTTATCAACCCATATCAATGTGAGAAAACCTAATAACCTTAAAAAAAAAAAAGATGGATGGGTAATTTCACACGCGGTTATAAAACTTATTAAAGTCACGCTTTTTTAAAATTCACGGTTAATAAAAAATAATAATAATAATAATAATAATGAAAACCGGTAAAATATAAAGGGTTAGGCGTAAATTAAACTAATTTTTTAATAAAAAACGTCACGCGGAAAGGTTTTGAATTTTGTAGGTGCGTTGTAAAAATGGCGGGAAAACCAATTTTTGTCGGTTTTCGCGGGTTTTTTTGCGTTTTGAAATTGGCGGGTTTTTTTGTTTTTCGTTTTCGGGGTTGTTACTTACTTGTCAATGGCCGTGTCCATGAGTTCGTCTAATTTTGATTGTTTTTCCGCGGAATCCAATCTTCCTTGGAATTCGTTTTCTTTTTCGTATTCGTTTTTAATTCTCACGACGCTCACGTAATTGCCCAAAACGGGAAATTTTTCCATTCGATTCATTCGATTGATAAAATTCAAAACTTTTTTTTGTACGCACGAAAATGATATTTTAGCCAAACAATCCATGTACATTCCGTTCAATGCTTCACCCGCGTATACCTCGGATCTTTTACTAAAATCATCTTCTGCTTCTACTGGAATTTTCCATTGAGAATCCGTCGTTGTTACACCACTTTCGACGACCATTTTGTTTTTCCATTTGTTGTTGTTGTTGTTATTATTATAAATAATTCGATTTTCGTCCGACACGGAATTGACGTTTTCCGATGAAGTCGCGACGATGACGATCGACAACACGAATACGATTTTATATAACGATAACATTATCCGCCGGAAAATGTTTTTCTTTTTTCGAAATCCAAAGATAAAATAAGAAAAGAAAAACGAAAACGAAATTTCTAGAAAAAAAAAAAAAGAAAAAAATTTTTTTTGTGTTCAAGACCGACGCGGTAAAGTGTTCTCGTGTCACTGATGAAAAAATCATTTCGTACCATCTTTTTATTAACAATGCCGAAGAATTATTCCCATAGTGTGTGTGTTTGCAGCATCCTTATAATTCATTCACTCACGTTTAGCTTATGGGTAAATAAATCTTTTTTGTTTGATTGTTTGTTTGGGAAAAAGTCTCGATCAAGGTTACGTTTTCCATCGAGTTATGCCCTTTTTGTTGTTGTTGTTGTTGTTGTTGTTGTTGGTGGCATGAATGAGAGAATTTTTTTTTGTAAGTAAACCATTCGTTGTTTGATGGATGCGTTTGAAAATTTTTTATGAATGGTAATCTTCTCCTTCTTCTTCGTGTACGATGTCCTTTTTTTTTTTTTTAACAGATGGAAAATAAATTTTTTCACCACTCCCCGATCGAATGGAAAAAAGAGAGAGAAAGAGAAAGAGAGAAAGAGAGAAAGAGAGAGAGAGAGAGAGTGAGAGAGGTTATTATTATTTTCATCTTTGGGTCAAATTCATATTCGACAAAAAAAATTTTTGTTTTACATCCTTATTTAATACCTTTTAAGGTTTTTTTCTATTTTTATAAGTTTTAACTAGAGGGGTTGAATCGAATCAATTTCCCAATTTATTATTATTATTCACCATTAAACACGACAAGGCTACTTGTCGGAGTTTTTTAAGTATTTATCCGAGGTTTCTACCCGATTCCTTAGGGACAAATACTCGAATTTCGGTGGTGCCACTTATTATAAGATAGCACCACATCAATTCTTGAAGGTCTTCCTGAGTCCGTCTTTTTCGATGGGAACGATTTGTCTCCTGAACTGGGCTCCGGTGACTAACATCTTTGGAGTGGCCAGGGTCAGAAGCAGTGAAATTCACGTTCTCGTCGAGCTGCCTCAGGTCGACAGTAGAACAAGATTTTGTTTTTGGTTCTTACTTTGTCTTGTTCTCATTTTTTTTTTTTTGCTCTTTTTAAGCCAACAGCACGTGGCGTTCTCAAACGGTCACCCATCCAAGTTTGCACCACGCCCGATGCTGCTTAACTTCGGTGATCGTACGGGAACCGGTGTGACCAGCACGCTATGGCCGTTGGCTTTTATTATTATTATTATTATTATTATTATTATTATTATTATTATTATTATTATTCACTTTCAGGGTTAAAGTTCACAGATTTTTTTTTTAATAACATGGATGCAAAAGGGGATTTTTAGTGTTTTAAATGTTTTCCGGGACGAAAAAACTTTTTTTTTTGTTTTTGTTTTTTGTTTTTCGGGATGAAAAAAAAAAAAAAAAAAAAAAAAAAAAAAAAAAAAAACAAAAAACTTGTTCACCCGAAAACACATTTTTTTGGTTTGTTTTGATTGAAAATTTTTCGATTCGTTTTCTATTGTTCGATTGTTTGTACTCTCAAGGGGGCAAAAGAAAAATCGTTAGAGTAGAAATTAATGCAAAATCGTGTCTTTAGAAAAATCGATATCCGGTTTTTTTCTTACTCTATGAACGGAAACTGTGCGTACGATCGCGATAGAATTCGAGATAATTTTAAATTGGGATCACGTGGGAAATTTGACCCCCTTTTTTTTTTTTTTTTTTTTTTTGTAAAAATTTTGGATAATAAATTCCAACGGGAACCTTCTCGACTTTTTCTTTTTGTGGTTGTTGTTATTGTTTTTGTTGTTGTTTTGGTTGTTGTTTTGGTTGTTATTGTTGTTTTTGTTGTTGCGAACTTTTTCACGTCGTTATTGTTTTTTTTTTTTTAATTTATAAGAAAAAGTAAAATAAATCAAAGTTTTATAAAAATTTAAATTAATTACGGTTAATGAATTTAAAAATGTCGGCCGCACCTGGATATCGCAGGCGAAATTTTTTTTCTTTTCTTTTTTTTTCTCTCCATTGAATTTTTTATTAGTGGATAAAAAAATAAATAAATAAATAAAATTTATTACGAGTCGATTGTAATTGTTGACAAATGACAAATGACAAAAACATCATCATCATTATCATCATCATCATTATCATCATCATTATTATTATTATTATTTACGGTTTTTTTTTTTTTCAATAGGCGATAAAAGGCGTTTGCATCCTTACTTACAGTTTTATATTTTTCTTTTCTTTTCTTTTCTTTTCTTTTCTTTTTTTTTTTGATAAAAATCGTACGGAAATTTATTATTATTATTATTATTATTATCATCGGGTGTTTTCGTTGTTATTATTATTATCATCCTTATCATCGTTGAGTGTTTTTTTCAAGTGTGAGGAAAAGTTTTGGGGGGGGGTTTACGATCGGAAGCTCGCAAACGTTTTTCATTTTTTCATTTTCATTTTCATTATTATTATTATTATTACTATTTTTTTTTTGCGGTCAGTGGCATACATTCATGTTTGACATTTTTAAAAAAAAAAAAAAATCTCATTGCAAGGGGGTCAAATTTTATAAGAATGATAATGATGATAATAAGAAATTTTGAAAAAAAAAATTTTTTTTTCTCTCTCTCTCTCTTTGTCGCGTAATAAATAAATAAATAAATAATTTAACAATTTTACGTGGAGAATTATTATTATTATTATTATTATTATTATTATTACTATTATTATTATTATTACTGTTATTATTATTATTATTGTTTTCTTTATAAAGAATTACGCCGCGTTACTCACGAACGAAAATAATTTGCGAAAACGAAAAAAAAAATTTTTTTCTTTTTACGATTTGAAAAACGCACGTGCGTATTCGCGAACGCACAGGTGATGGCATACAAATACCGGTACTCGATATACTACTCATGCAATAAATTATTATTATTATTATCATCATTTTTTTTTGTACTAAATGATTAACGCTTAATTTACAAAAATTTAATTGCACGAATCTAGTTTTTCTTATTACTTCTATTAAATTAAATTCAGATCAAATGATATTAATATTAATAATAATAATAATAATAATGATGATGATGATGATGATGATGATGATGATGATGATGATGATGATGATGATGATGATAATAATCAAATGTAAATTACCCGACGTGAAAAAAAAAAAAAAAAATTAATAACGTTTAAAATTTATTAATATAAACTTGAGGTTAATATTTGTATAAAAAGTTAATTTATTATTATTATTATTATTATTATTATTAATTTAAACGATTGTTTGACGTTCCAAAAATGGGTAACAATTAATAAAAAATGATGGAAAAATAATAATAATAATAATAGAAAGTTTTTTTTCGTCTTTGAAAAAAAAAAAAAGAAAAAAAAAAAAAACCGTGAAAATGAAAAGTAACGATTTCGGATTTTTAAAAAAATTTTATAATTAGTTTTATTCTTCCCCCTCCCCTCTTTTTCTTCATCATCATCGTCATCATTATCTTCTGCTTTTTTTCCTCGGTTAAAATTGCCCCCTTTTTCTTCCTTTTGTATTTTTTTCCAACATTCGTTAACGGTTTTGTTTGTACGTGGAAAAAAATTTTTAAAATTTTTTCGTTATTATTATCATTATCATCATCATCATCATCATCATCATTATCATTACCATCGTCGAGACGTTACGCGCGTGAAAATTCAATTGGAAAATGAAAATTTTTCATTCCGGAATGTTTAGAGTAAACAAAAAAAAAAAAAAGAAAATCGAACGATTGGATTTGAAATTGTTCGTCCGTTCGGAGAAAAAAAACCGTTCGGGTTAACGAACGAATGAACGTGAAAATCTCAACCGAACGAATTCACATCCTAGTAACGATGATGATAATAATAAGAAAATGAGGAAAGAAAAAAAAAGATGGAAAGTGAGCGAAAATAATAAAAGAAGAATAAGAAGAAGAAGAAGGAGAAGAATATTCATGCCGGATCTGCCAAAGGGCATTCAATCACGATTAACATCACGTTGATAATAATAATAATAAAATAATAATAATAATAATGATGATGATAATAAAGTTTAAAACAATGATGATTTGGTAAAAAAAAAAAAAAAATTAACAAAACAAACGAAAACGCGTGAGAAAAAAAAATAAAAAAATTCCTTAATAGAAAAGAAAGAAGAAGAAGAACAAGAACGACGACAGGAACAACAACAACAACAACAATATGGACGGCAGGAAATGGAAATCACGTGACATGGAATAAAACCGGAAATGAAAAAACAAAAACGAAATTTAATGGGAACCCGCGTTTTTTTTTTTTTTTTTTTTTTGGCGAATCGAATATCGAACCGAACGTTTTAAAAATCGATCATTTCGTGTCACGTGACACCACCATCATCCGCACATGCCATGAGAAAGAAAATTATTTTTTTATTCATTTTCCAAAAAAAAAAAAAAAAACGGGTTTTTAATTGCGATAATAATAATAATAATTTTTACGATATAACAAATTACGCGTTCACGTGTTATATTAATTTTTATTATTATATATCCACAGGAATTAATAACATTATTATTATTATTATTATTATTATTATTATTATTATTATTATTTTTATTATTATTAATGCGAGGAGGTAAAACTATTAAATTAATCTTAATTTGGTAAAATTAAAAAATAATTTAAAAAAATAAAAAAAAAAATAATAATAATAATAATAGTAAAGTGAGGGGAGGGAGAGGTAGAGGGAGGGAAGGCGAGACGGGGGGGGGAGCTTAATGGATTTTCACGTGCATAAATTTAATTATTATTACGAAGAGAGACTTACTTACTTACTCATACGACCGGTCACAATAACTAACGTA